ATCCTGAGCCTGTGTGTACCCCTAGACACTCCCCTTATGCTGCCCTACATTTCTGAACAACTCTTTCAAAAATTAAGCATACTAAAAGGAAAATTAGAACTGAGATACTTGATGAGCATCTGAGAACTCCCTGATAATTAGAGCTACTTTGACACATTGGGTTTTCAGATACAATGTCAGATACCCAACTAGTTTTATGCTGTCATTTTAATTTTACGTTCATAAGAAAAAGTTTAGTTTTGACATAAAAGGGCAATCAATTCCCTGTCTAGCTTCCTCTCTTAACTTTTCTTGAACTTGGAACATCCTAACTTATGTACTTGAATTCTTAGGTCATTGATCATTTCACAATTCCCTCCTTGAAACTTCCTCCTCCTCTTGTTTTCTGTTATTCCTACATTTCTTGTTACTCTTCATGCTTCTGTTGCTCTAAAACTCTTAAAAAGGCTTAGACTTCTTGGCTTCCATTCTTTGAGATCCTTTCTCATTCTCTATATGCTTTCATTTTTATTCTTGTAGAAATTTGACTTTGAAACAAATTTTCAGCAACAACTTCTAAGTTATTCTTCATAATATAGCCTCAATCTTTTTCTAGTATTATAAACCAACCCATATTTCTAATGAATATTTATATCGATTCAGCATTTCAAACGTATTTCAATGTCACTGTGTGTAAAACTAAATGTCTACCTTTTTCATTTCTTATTTCTCAAGTCTATTAGTCTCCCTTTTTTAATCCTATCAGATTCTTATTACATCATCATCATCATCATCACTCTCCTGAGATTGCAGGATCTGCACACCACCAACCTTCCTCTCTCTTACTTCAGAATGTCTTTTGCTCAAATGTGAACCAGGTAAAGAGCTTAGACAAATAATGTATTTATAACCAGAAATAAGGTGGCATACGTATAATACAATGTGTCCTTGGTGGCATCAAGACCTAGATTTTTCACACTGAGCTTAGTATATTTCAGAGTCACAAGATGAATGTTGTACCTCCAGGGAGCATGTTACATATCCAAAGCAGGGAGACAGAGGGACAGGTATATAGTATGCAAAGGATCACCTGAGTTGTTTTCACCAGAAGATTTCTGAATATATCTAAACCAGAACCTATATAGTCACAGTCTTTACTCAAAGAAAGAAGACAATATTTTTTCTTGTGGTTAGGGAAAAGCAAGATGTCAAAGATTAGAAATGGATGAGTTTGATTTAAGTATATATTACCTGATTCTTATAGCTCATCTCTGATTTTATGACAGTCATCTTTTTGACAAATATTAAGTAAATGTCTTAATCAAAACTTTAGTGGCTCATCATTGCCAATAAAATCAAATGGAAACTTATTGCTATCTTCTCTGTCTCATATTCTAATCTTCCTTCTTATGCATCTTCCTTCAAATGTACATTTATGATCTTCCACTTGCTTAATGAACATGTTTGCTCTTTCTGTCTCTTCACTGCCTGAGTTGTTTCCTCTCAGCATACCCCTTTGTCTTGTTTCACTCTATGTTCTCATGTCCTACCCAACCTTCAAGTATAATTTTATTGTCACCTTTTCCAATCCTCCAAATAGGAGTTATGAATTCATTGCAACCCCTTGTTCTTGGTATTTAGAAATATTATATAAAGTACACAAATTTTTCAATAAGTATTTTCTCACAGACAAATATCCTTGGTGGGTATGGCTGGTATATATCAGGAGCTCACCTGTTTCTGATGGTTCTAGATGGTTACATAATTCCAAAATAATTGTAACTCTATAAAACAGCTATACCAGGAAGGATGGAAACATATACAACTAGCAGTGTTGAATGTGGTATCTTCTCTAAGTACAACCAATGAGCTCTAGATGTTCAGGGATGGAATGTAGTTATGGAACAATAGCAAATAGTGCTACTGAATGCTCAAGATAAAGGGATCACTCATTTTTCATAAGTAAGGTCTTCAGAACTTAGCAACACTGAAGGAAATAAATTTTAAATTTCATACCTATTTCTATTTAAATATACTCATATTTCATATATAAAACATAAATCCTTAAGAAAATGCCATTTGAGCATTGTGCTTATCTTAATTTCAATTATGTGAAAATATCACCATTGTACATTTGATGAAATAGTTAATAAAAACTCCAAGCCCAGTGTCAGTGGATTTTGAATGATATAGTCAATTAGATTGTTAGAACTTTTACTAGCTATTAGTGTTTAGTTTGGATAATGAAGAATTGACTCTATCTTGGAAAATTTGTTTCAAAGTCAAATTTCTACAAGAATATTGTGCTCACTTGCTTTATTTCACAACATTTGATGTTGAAACGATGTTTATAAGGTGACATTCAAATGTTGAGGCCTATATTGTGATGAGTTGTTACTAGGCTTTTTCATTCTTCCTGGGCAAGTTCCAGCAGCTCTTCAATGTTAAATCTGAACAGATGCCAACCTTCCTCACAGGAAAGGTCTGAAGCCCCTAGGCGAGTGTAGTACTCAACGGAATCCTGATTCCAAATGACAACAAGAAATTGCATGGCACTGCATTGAGTGTTGATGGCTATCTGTTTTAAAACAAACAAGTAAATATTGTCCTCATTTGACACTATAGTCATTCACATTTTACTGAAGGTCTACAATATATAATACTGTATGTATATAATAATTCAAATATTCCAAGTATTTTTTTTTTTTTTGGTTTTTCGAGACGGGTTTTCCCTGTGGGTTTGGAGGCTGTCCTGGTACTAGCTCTTGTAGACCAGGCTGGTCTCGAACTCACAGAGATCCACCTGCCTCTGTCTCCCAAGTGCTGGGATTAAAGGCATGCGCCACCAACAACACCCGGCAACTCCAAGTATTTTTGGACTTAAAGATTCTTTTATATTATTGCAAGTCACATTATCTATTTTATGAGTAAAATTGCTTTCCGCTCTCCCTCATGCTTACTTATCCTTGATGGCAAACATCATATAGTGTGTTTGTACAGTATATAGGAGTAAAATGTAATTAAATATAACTTAGAGAATCTGGGCTTTCAACTTGAAAATCCACTTTAATAAACCTTTGAAGGACGTGTTGCAAAACTATTTTGTGTTTGTGAGTGCACGTGTTTGTATGGGTTTGGATGCATATGTGTGTATGCATGTGGCGATCAGCAACTCAAGTTGTTATCCCTCAGGTACTCTCCAATTTTTGTTTGAGACAAAGTCTCTAACTGGACTGAAATTTCACTAAGTAGGTTAGGGTGGCAGCTATTGAGCTCAAGAAATCCAACAGTTGCCACCTGTCACCTTGCCATTGGTGGCATAAGAGTGTGTACCACTACTCCTAGCTTTTTATGTGAGTTCTGGGGATTGGACTCACATCATCATGTTTGCAAGGCAAGCACTTTATCAACTGAGCAAGTTCTGATGTTATATTTAATTAATAAGATTAATTACCTAATCTATGCCTTGTTCAGTAACACGTGGTGAAGAAAATAATAATATATAGACTATCAATACTAACTATAACACATACCTGACTTAACTTCTTCAGCACTTCAGCTCCAATACCTAGACCTATTAAATAGATATTGTCAAATAAGACTGTAAATTGAAATTTTTCACTTAACTAGTTGTTTATTTTAATTTTAAAGCAATAAAAGATCAAACTGTTTATGGTTGCCATATATTATAATATATACATAGTACTGTGTTGAAACTGATCTCATGAATGCTTTAAATTATCTTTTATCTTATTGGGGCACGGCAGCCATGGTAATACAAAAGAGATTAGTTTTATCTTAAAAATCCATGGTGAATAAATGAGTCTCTATCTTTATATTCTTTCTTTTTCTTGAGACAGGGTTTTATGATCTATCGTTGGATGGTCTGTAACTTGAATTCACAGAGATCCACTTGCCTCTGTATCCCCAAAACTGGAATTAATGGTGTGTGTCACTAAGCTGACCTTCACTGCTTTCTTAGGGCAGGGTATATTTCTCAACTATGTCTATTAAAAACAAACCCATAGTATAAAAGTTGTATTTTACAGATAAAAATAGTAGTTGGGGATAGCATAGCTTACTTAAGTGTGTTAAAAAGATACTATTGAAATACTTTCTCACTTGTAGTTGAATCTTCACTCTACTAGGATCCTGGTCAGTCTCAAGAAATGGAAATGAGTTATCTGAATAACTTAGAAATCATATCTATACTAAGACTTTACATGAAGTATACCTTAGAGACTTTTAAGTGTTTGGAAATACTATTGATTGTAGTTTTACCTTGGTACTTTTCACTGATGTAAAAATCCTCTAGGTGAAGCGTTTTGCCAATCCATGTGTCATATGTGTAGTAGTACATGGCAAAGCCAATAGTTTGGAGTCCTGGGCAGAAGAGGGGACAAAGAGGCTAATGCTTTAAATCATAAACCGGTATATGTCTTCAAATAGAATATGGAAGGGTGTTTGCTGCTTTAACTATTAATGCAATACGTGGTTGTTGGACAAAGTATCAGTACATAAATTTATAATGTAGGTTTACTTATAGCCTTTAAAAGAAAGCATATAGTTTGATACACATTCTTATAATTTTTCATACTTTTATAATCAGAGTGACAGAACAGTTATTTAAAAGTATATCAGGTTTGCATATTGTACTCCTCTGTTTAATACTATTACACAATATGTATTTATTAGCTGTTAACTCTGCTTTCAGATATAGAAAATGTATTACAGATTAAACTGGAGGAGGAATATTTACCGGATTCGGTTTCTTGATTGGGTGCTTCAGCAATCAGGCAGTAGAAAAGGGGATTATTTCCAAAACCATCCCTGTTTATGTCTGAAATATCAA